GGAGTACGTAAACAAATTCCCTATTATCTACTCCTGATATATATTACAGCCCGTAGCCAGGGGGGGTTCGGGGGGTTCGAACGAACCCCCCCGGCCCCAAGCCAAAAAAAATTTTTTTGGAAAATTTGCAAGAATTTCACCTCAGGTCGCTCCATTTTAGTGTAATAATTGCTAAATCTCCATCGTGCGGAACGTGAACAGTGAACACCCCCCGCACCCTCCCCGCTCCCCGGTCGCTTGGCTCTCTCGCCTTGGTCGCATCGCGCCGAGCAGGGGCGTGTACAGGGGGGTCCAGGAGTCCGGACCCCACCTTGCTCGCGCAGAAAACGCATCTGAGGGGGTGTAATTTTAAAATTTTCTGGGGGAGGGCCCCCCAGACCCCCCCTTCGCGTGCTCGCAACTTTCGCGGTTACGGTTAGACCCCCCTGGTACAAATCCTGTACACGCCCCTGCCTGAGCAAATTGCAACATTGAAAAACGAACCCCCCCCAATACAAAGCTGGCTACGGGCTGTATATATATTATATTATGTGTGCGTATATGTTACAACGTTGTGTTGTGCATTTTCTAGGTTAATCTGCAATGCATTGGGAGGACATATCAATGACTATAATGGCTCAGCAACAAGGGTGTGGAACTGGCCAGCAGCAGGAAAACTGAGAAGCAGGGTGTACCTACAGGTCGGCATATAGAGCTGGTTGTACTCTATGTGATATAACAATTTGTTAGGCTTAGTTTATCTTGCCTTCACCCTAGTGCGCTTAAAATGGCTATCATGCATCTTGACGTATATTACAAATATGGCCTTCATCAGTATTAGGAGTCTTTAAATGTAACAAGGGTGGAGTGCTTGCATAAAAAAACACTGGCTCAAAATTTAACCATTAGCAAGATATGTGTGTAACCCTAACCCTAACCTTAACCCTATCCTTAACCCTTGTAATAGACACGTTCATGAGACTGGCATGGTATGGCATAGGCGTAAAAGATGCTTTTATTCAGACTACTGGTGCTATCTGCACGCAAGAATAGACAAATACCATAATAATTCTGAGCCTAACCAACATTGTGATGAGTGTCGCTATCTCCTTATTCTCAATAGCAATGAATTTGCTGCAGTACAATGAGGGAGATTCATGTAAATTTGTTGCAGCTGAATGAATTCATGAGTGTCTCCTGTGAAAGCAGTGCACACATGACTGTGCTGTTCTCCTGCCAAAATGAGAAGCTCAGTTTCAGTGTTGGCTGGGAGGAGGAGGTTACCAAATCTGGATGTAGAATGCAAGATGACGAAAGACACAAGGCAAGTTTTATATTTCACTTATTATATATATATACAGGAGCGAATAATAATAGAGGAGTATGACTCACTCGAAACACCAGAAATTCAACATTTCCATGCCCTAATTTACCTATGATATATTACGCAAAACCAAACAAACCTGACATCAGAATAAGCACTGCACATCCAAATTGCGCTCGCACTTTACTTTGTATCGATACCTGTTGTTAGCTCATCTGACATAGTCGGATGCAGCTTGTAGAATCGCATGATCGTTCGTCCGTGCGAGCGTCCATCCGTCCGTCAACAGTTGGGCACAAATCTTAACCGCTCGACGTACGGTCACGATATTACGGGGGGGGGGGGGTAATCCGAAAACGAGTTGGAATGTCTAAGCTGGGGGGTCAAAGGTCAAAGGTCAAGAGGTGTAAAAGAAGGGGGAACATTCACTCCTTAACTTATAGGGAGGAAATGCAGAATTGCGGCACAAATCTAAACGGCTCGACCTAGGCTTGTGATAGTCGGTGTAAAGCAACATGGTAGGAAAAGCCATCACTGCTGCCGAAATTGGAGCGTCACAGGTCAAAGGTCAATGGGCACAGGGCAGATTTTAGACATTTTCTGAGGACATGGTCTGACGGAACGATTGAAAAACTTTTTTGTTTCAGCAGTGACCTAGCATTTTTATGGCTTTATTGAAAGGACATGAAATGTACCTTCTGCTGACATGCGAAGAGTAAGTGTCGCGATAACCTTTTGACCCTCAAGAAGAGGTTAAACATGGATTTGTTTACTGTCTGTTAGAAAGAATTTGACTGCCGGGTGTTGTAGTAGATCTATACATGCCTGGATGTATGAGCTACAATGTCACAGTGAAATTTCAAAAGCTAAATTTGGTTGAAGAAGGTTTATGCTCCTTAAATCGTATAATTTTATGGCATTCTGTGTACTGTCAGTATGTTACATGTAACGTATGCCACTGCCCAGTGGCCACTGCCAGTGCATGTGGTGTGTGGTACTGTGTAGTTTTTTGCCTGCGTTAATTGTTACAGGTGGCAGCTCTCTATTGCGCCTGTAGGCTTGCGTAGGTAAATGGATGAGTGCTTACCTATTCTGTCTTGCAAATAGTTGTTGCTTACTAACGTACGATGGAGGCTTCATCTTTAATCTGAAGACACTTAAACGTACAGCGCCATCTCGGTGGCAACTTTCTAACGATCCCAATGAACATTCCTTTTGAGAAGGTTCCTGATCCCATCCCTGTGCATTCCACTGTTTCGGCGTGTATGTGAACACATTTGGACCTAACAGGGGTTTACTAGGAATCCCACCACTCCACCCACAGAGTCACCGCAGTAGACGTTAGATGCATGAGCGCTGTCGCTCCGCGGCACTTGTTATTATGTAGTTATAACTTCGAGCGTCAGACATGGTTTTATAGTCATTCACATAGTAAAGTGGCTATCGTTCCACGCGCATAGGGGCGAACAAGAGGCAGCTCACGGTGATAACGCTGTTGGTGTGGTTCGGCAGGGATTTGCAACTCACAAATTGTAAAAACTGCCAAAATGTTGCCAAACGAAAGCTTCTCATTACGGATAATTTTATATCACTGTATGGCATACGACATTGCTGTTTATATCTGCACTCCAGCGGTCAGAGCCCGCTACTAATTTGCGATTTGCAATCCTTGCCAACCCCTCCAACAGGTGTATCAGAGCAAGCTGCCTCTTGTTACTGTTAGCGCTTATAGGTGTTGAACAACAGTAGAGGCGCACATAGGCAGGAGGCCTGAATAAGCATCGAACAGAAATTAATTAAAATACTCACACTGTTACTTCGCTTACACAACATACATTTTATTCATCTTAAATAACTACAGATTTATGCCTCTATGCTCCTGCTCGAAAACTTTTGCCAGCTCTAGCTATGATTGCGAATTTCTGCAAAGTTGTCTGAACACAATTTCAAACATAAAAAATGAACAACCGGTGGCTGTGGCCTACGGCAACCTGACGGAATGTCACGAATACACAACAAGACCAATTTTACTTCTAATGCTTTCTAGACGTCCACAAGGCATCTAAACTTGCGTGCATAATGCAATTATTGCACTCTATAGTGCCGAATTTCGGCGTTCGCCGGGGCTTTTTTCTTAGTGCCGAGATTCGGCGAAAAATTCCAAAAAGCTTGTTTCTAGAGACGAAATTAGTGCAATTTGCGAATCTTAACTGTTGTACGCCTCTATAAGCGTGAGAATGACAGAAACTTGGCTGTGTAAATCAATGAAACACGCCTGACGTTCGAAGCAATAACTATATAATAAGAAGACGTATCAATACACAGTAAAGTGTGAGGACAAGTTGGATGTATAGCACTAGTTCTGATGTAATTTTTATTGGATTTCTATGTAATAAATCATAGGTAAATCTGGGCATGGAAATGTTGAATTTTCTTGTGTTTTGAGCAAGTCAGACTCCTCTATTATTATTCACTCCTGATATATATATAATTATATATATATACTATATATATATATGAAGTAAATATTCAGAAAGGAGTCTGACACGTATTTTTCCTCGTTTTTACCGATTTTCGCACTTCAAATTTTTGACGTAAAAAACAAATATGTACATGTTCTTGAGCTTATTCCCTACCTTTATTATTCACCTATCATTTCACTGAAATCGGTTCATAGCTATTTACTGTCTTATTGCTGTAAATTGTATTCAAACACAGTGTGTTAATTCCCGCGCCTCTTCGGCATGCTATTACATCTTAATAGGTGTATTTTGTGGGGCAATACATAGCGACAGCTGCTCAATTCTCAGCATCATACAGGAGCGAATAATAATAGAGGAGTATGACTCACTCGAAACACCCGAAATTCAACATTTCCATGCCCTAATTTACCTATGATTTATTACGCAAAACCCAACAGACCTGACATCAGAATAAGCACTGCACATCCAAATTGCGCTCGCACTTTACTTTGTATCGATATCTGTTGTTATTATCTAGTTAATAGCTTCGAGCGTCAGACATGGTTTTATAGTCATTCACATAGTAAAGTGGCTATCGTTCCCACGCGATAGGGCGAACAAGAGGCAGCTCACGGTGATAACGCTGTTGGTGTGGTTCGGCAGGGATTTGCAACTCACAAATTGTAAAAACTGCCAAAATGTTGCCAAAACGAAAGCTTCTCATTACGGATAATTTTATATCACTGTATGGCATACGACATCTGTTTATATCTGCACTCCCAGCGGTCAGAGCCCGCTACTAATTTGCGATTTGCAATCCTTGCCAACCCCTGCCAACAGGTGTATCAGAGCAAGCTGCCTCTTGTTACTGTTAGCGCTTATAGGTGTTGAACAACAGTAGAGGGCGTCCATAGGCAGGAGGCCTGAATAAGCATCGAACAGAAATTAATTAAAAATACTCACACTGTTACTTCGCTTACACAACATACATTTTATTCATCTTAAATAACTACAGATTTATGCTCTATGCTCTGCTCGAAACTTTTGCCAGCTCTAGCTATGATGCGAATTTCTGCAAAGTTGTCTGAACACAATTTCAAACATAAAAATAACCAACCGGTGGCTGTGGCTACGGCACCTGACGGAATGTCACGAATACACAACAAGACCAATTTTACTTCTAATGCTTTCTAGACGTCCACAAGGCATCTAACTTGCGTGCATAATGCAAATTATTGCACTCTATAGTGCCGAATTTCGGCGAAAAAATTCCAAAAAGGGCTTTTTCTAGAGACGAAATAGTGCAATTTGCGGAATCTTACTGTTGTACGCCTCCTATAGCGTGAGAATGACAGAAACTTGGCTGTGTAAATCAATGAAACCACGCCTGACGTTCGAAGCAATAACTATATAATAAGAAGACGTATCAATACACAGTAAAGTGTGAGGACAAGTTGGATGTATAGCACTAGTTCTGATGTAATTTTTATTGGATTTCATGTAATAAATCATAGGTAAATCTGGGCATGGAAATGTTGAATTTCTTGTGTTTGAAGCAAGTCAGACTCCTCTATTATTATTCACTCCTGATATATATATAATATATATATATATATATATATATATGAAGTAAATATTCAGAAAGGAGTCTGACACGTATTTTTCCTCGTTTTTACCGATTTTCCACTTCAATTTTTGACGTAAAAAACAAATATGTACATGTTCTTGAGCTTATATTCCCTACCTTTATTATTCACCTATCATTCACTGAAATCGGTTCATAGCTATTTACTGTCTTATTGCTGTAAATTGTATTCAAACACAGTGTTGATTCCCGGCCTCTTCGGCATGCTATTACATCTTAATAGGTGTATTTTGTGGGGCAATACTAGCGACAGCTGCTCCAATTCTCAGCATGCATCAATCACTTATTTCATTTAGTTTGCAATGTGTCTACGGTCTAGTAATACGTAGTCACCTGCGAACATAGTGCGATTGTGTGCATACCATCTTTAGTTACATGCATGCGCATACTACGTGTTTATGGCATTTGGCTTCTCAAATCCCTGCCAAGTCTCATGCAGAGGACTGGAGCAGTTGTCGCTAGTATCACCCAACAAAATATGTCTATTTAGATGTGATAACATGACGAAAAGGTCTGAACATTAATACCGTGTTTGAATATAATTCACAGCAAACAACAGTAAATAGCTATAAACCGATTTCAGTGCATGATAGGTGAATAATAAAGGTAGGGAATAAGCCCAAGAACAGGTACGTTTTTGTTTTTGTTTGCGCCAAAATTTGAAGTGGAAGATCGGTAAAAGCGAGGGAAAATATGTGTCAAATTCCTTTGTGATTATTTACTCATAACTTATACGCACACATAATATATAGCTACATTTTGGGAGCGAACTGTCATCAAAGACAAGGTCACACATCCCACTGTCAACTGTCGTGCTGGCTGCACAGTTGGAGAGCCATAAGGACATGAGAAGCAGGAGCAGTAGAACAAGTAGTACCAAGGTAGGTTAACAGGGGACTTAATTATTGCCTAATAGTAGTGGAAATTTAAGGATCAGGGAAATTCATAGATGATTGTCATCTTCTTTTTTAGGAAAGAGTAATTTTAATAGGAATGATGATGAGTTTGTTATTACCGTACTTTGGAAATTATAGTAGTCATTTCACAATGAGATTCACTAAGATAATATTAGCCATAACATGCGTACTTTAAGATGAAGCTACACGCATGTGCAGTTACAATGTTTAATTCAGACTATAGTTCACACACCTTTAGTTTGATTCAGCCCTTGGGAAAAGCAGTTAAACAGCTACCTGAACAGCCAGGTTTTACGCCTCTATGCCACTTTGGGCCGGATTTATCTGAAGAACTCTCCAATTTACGGGAACAAGTGAGGTACGAAAATAAAGCAATAATGTGATAACCTATTCATGAATGAATAATTAAAGCAATATCAGCAATATCACCGTGGATCCCTCATCTGGTAAACACGATAAAATTTCAGACGTATGTATTACTTGGTTAATATATAATTACTTGCCCTTCACCTTCTCCAATTTTTCTTCTCACTCTTCTTCTCACTTCACCTCCGAATCCTTCTTCTTCCACTAATCCTCCTAATTTTTTTCTTCCTCAGCATCATTGTGAAGTGCTGGGCTCAGTTCTACAGGGGAGTAGTTGGCATTGCCTCGTCTGCAAAACCAGACTGCTCAAATGCCAATCTGAGGGCAGGCACATTGTCCCGGAGTTACTGTGCGAGACCACGGTCTCCCAGCCATCTAGCTAGGTCAGCTAAGCGAAAGGAGATCGTGCACAAACGACCCAAAACAGCACCTGCTGGTAAAACCCTGAATCTTGAGTTACTTTCCTGTGCGCTGCAACCTAGTAAAATTATTTGTATGCAGTTTTAAATTCGTTTTGATTACTTGTAATTGGTCATACAAGTATACCATTGGATTTTGTGCAGCAAATAGCACAAGGAAAACATTTCACTTTTCGTACACATGACGTGCATGAAATGCTTGGCTGCATTAGTGCAACTAGGAAAGTCTTAGGTTGATTCAACCGTGATGTGTGCTGGATTGCATTACTTAGAGCTCTTGGATTCATTCATTACACCCAGCCAAACATGCCCTGTTACAACAGCTAGGTAATAGGTGGTGCAGCATATCAAGCTGTAAGTACAAACAGGGACACCCCATCTTTAAATAAGATCGCGGTGTATGAATGAGGGTGATACCGATGATGTTGATGATAACAATTATGGTGACGACAACGACGATGCCGATAATGATGATGGTGATGGTGGTGCTGATGGTGATGGTGGTGCTGATGGTGATGGTAATGGTTGGTGGTGATGGTGATGGTGATGGTTGGTGGTGGTGGTGATGGTGATGGTTGGTGGTGGTGGTGCTGATAATGATTGGTGGTGGTGGTGCTGATAATGATGAAGATGACGATGGCAATGCCAATGATGGTGATAATGCAATCACTTTCAGGTTGCCTTCCATCTGCACATCGGTCAGCATATGGCGGTGGTGGTAGTTGGTCTGTGCATGGCATGATGGGGCAAAGGCAGCCTCTGCTTGGCACCTGCCCTGTTGTTCTCCGCACTAAACTGCTGGGGAATAATACAGATGGAATGAAGTGCAAGTGTAGCCGAATACACATTCCATTCCTCATGGACATAGAATACACAGAGTTCATCCGGAATGGAATGCCAGTAGAGCAACTGCTAATCGTGCAAGTAATCGACAGCAGGTGGAGTAATTTTCTACTCTTATTCCTAATTAGTTCATTAACCAGGATTTTTCTTTATGCTATACTGAATGGCAAGAATTCACTGCTAAATATCTTCTTTTTTTTGTTTCTATATTTGATCAACGATTGTTGGTCACATTTTACAAATTTCATCAGTCTTGAATCTATATTCATTCCTTAATTTTTATGGGTCCCCTGTTATGTTATTGTGATAGATTCTACTAAGACGTTGGTTATCGTAAATGGCAGGAAAGCAATGCGCCGTGGTCAGAAACACATACAATAATGTCCCACACAATTAATATTCCAACGCAGGGGAGAACATTTTTGTACACCCCATGACCCCAATATAATTATTTTACCCAGTAGTATAGTTAGATTATTAGAAATATTATCACAAGGACTAACTTCTGACGGTTCACTGCATGCCATCGATCCTGCATCCATCTAGGTGTCAGGCTAACACTAACGTCGACCGCATGCTGACCGAAAAGTATCACGCCGCGAACAAACTACGCTTCCAGCCCTGCATGGAGTCTACCGACCAGCTGTACAGATTGGCACGGTACGACATGGCCGTAGCAATGCAGAGTACAGAACACACCGAAGCCTTACTGCACAGAGTACACAACGTCAGGCCTGGCACATTCCTGGTGCGTCAAGATACCATAAACTATACATAGATATATATAAATATCTGCATTTATGTA